TGTCAGGGCCGAGGAATGTGGAAAACAGAGCACACTGGGGGGCCTTGTTCTCCCACAGTGAATAGTCCTTAGGCAGGAATCCAAACCACATGCCACACACAGCCTGAGATGTAACGAGGGGGCTGGGAGGGAGAACAGCGGAGAACAGACGGAGAAAACGGACTCTGGGAACATGCGAGAGTAGTTTTGATGGTTTTAAACTACTTGGAAGGTTTGAGGTGGTCAGAAATATGAAAGAGATGAACGTCAGTAATATTCAATATGCGGTGCTTGTAAAAGTAAAATGATAGTTCACTGAACTTCAAATTTGAAGTTTGAGTTAAAACTCACAAAGTGTGCCTTGACCACACATGTTAATTTATGGAACTTAATGTTATTAATGCAAAGTCACATTATTTAACGTAAAAGTTTACAGGGTTGCAAAAAAATGAAACTTTGACTGCAAATCGAAAGAGCTAGGGTCATTGGTATGGCAGCCAGAGCGCATACTCAACCGTAGTGACGGTACACTGTCACACTGCCCTCCCCTTTGGGAAATGCACTTTCGTGCTTCACGCACATAGGCGTCCCTCACACATTCCACAACAGTACTGGGCATGCCTCCAAAGACCTCACGGCAGGCCATCCCACCACTGCCAACAAATGTGGCGTCCGTTTGTAACGCACTGGGTATCCCTATAAAGTCATAGTTCACCGCACTATGAGACCCTGTAGCGTCAGTTTCAGATGGTAAAGGTAGGTATGATGATTAACAGAAATGAGTACAGAGGTGGTTGGGGTGGATGGAGGGCCAGAGACCGGACTTTCAACCAGGAGGCCGGTGTTCGTGTCCCGAGTGAAACAAAAAGTCAACATTAAATATTTAAGCAATGTAGGTTATGTAAGTTACGCAAGAAACGTAACTTAACTTAAGTAAGTTAGCTGACATACATAATGCAGTTATTTTAACCCTTGCCAAGTACTTTCGGTGTCTAAACCTAACCAAATTGCCACGTTTTACAACTTTAACAATGTACCGTTTCAAAATGGCAATGTTCGTGACATTAACGTTTTATTTTGAAAGTCTAACCGGACATTGCATATTTTTTGTTGCTAACTTGGCCAGACGTTGCAGAATTATTGTTGCTAACCGTATCTAACTTGACCGCAGATTCCTAAACGACAAAAACTGACCCAGGATAAAATCAGGATAAAAATCCTGAGTCAAATTCCTCCTATGTGGACACATACCTGGCTGATTCTGATTCAGAAAAGCGAAGCCAGGGGCTCTTGACCAAGCTTCCATATGTGGCAAATGTTAGGTAGACAGACGTCTTGTAGACCCAGAGGTGTTTTTAATTTACAGTGTCTGCAGTACACTTGGTCCGGTGATGTTATCCACAACCTCGCAATTACTATAAAACAGGAAATGCTTAGGTGGGCCCCTTCCAAAAAATTGTCCTGCATGGTGGGACTGTTTAAAGGAACAAACAATGGTAAGTATTAACCCCTTGAAAAGTCTGTTTTTTTGACCTCCATGGTTTAACTTCTCAAATGTTGCAGTGATTGTTTCAACATTTTTCAAAACAGAATTACATGAAAACAGAAATGAATAGTGCCACCAACACAGGTGACAAAATGACTGGTATGAAATCTAAAAGCCCCTGTATGATAACACTATCTGCCAGCAGAATAAACAATATGGTTACAGTAACTGAAGGAAAGGGGACTTTTTCCAGTTGACAAAGTATGGTGCTTGCCAGATGAAACAAAACAGAATGATTAAGAATGGAAGAGAAAGGGAAAAGAAAGGGAAAACCAAAGTGAAAGGAGGGGACTGTTGAGCAACCAAGAGCAGCCTCTGGCAAATCCCTGTGGTAAGCTGCTTGGTGGGAAATGTTTTTGATCCAAATTCAAAAATCAGAAATTGCTTAGGAAAGTCCTGCAGGCTGTACTAAACACGTGAGAGAGTTTTTGAAAGAGATAAGAAAAGATAAAATTAAGAAAGGATAATGAAAATATGTAGATAAGGCATGTAGATGAATTCAGGTCATAACGGACTAACTGAGTTTGCTGAGCCTACATCAAAGACCTTTGGTAGAAACATGATATCACATCATGAGAAAAGAATTCAACTCACAAAAAACATTCAAATAATGTACAGGTATTACTAAAGCCAAGGGAGAGTCAGGATTTAGTGACACCTAACAACCAGAATAATCCAAAACAAATAGCATGAGCTCTTTCTCCCCAAATAGATCCTACATGTCTCCAGGAGTGTTGGGTTTTCGTCATCCAATCAAACAGACATAGATACACATCATCCTGTCTGGAACACAATGTTCATATGCATTACACACTGATGAGACAGTGTCCTCACCCAGCCTTGACATGTCCACTGCATTCCTGAGGGGAATGTGTCACCAAACATCTCAGTGCTGCTCAGAGTTTCTCGACTGATACACACATGTCCCTCAGAGGACGTCAAAGATTGACTGATATTTGAAATTGATGTAATTAATTAAAGTGGCCTTGAAATATGTCAACTGACAAAAAATTCATACCTAAACAACAAAATAGGTAAAATGGTTGTGTAAATATGCAACTGTTTACAAGATCACTATGTCAACTTAAAAGGTCAGTGTTCACAACTTGTTTCTGCGGCTCTTAAAATGATTAGATATTTTCTAAGTCTGCTCACTAACTTGTAACTAGAGCTGACAAATAAATACATAAAAGGACAAGATTTCTCTCTCGAATGTAAAAAGGTATAAGTATAAAGTAGCATAAAGTCTAAATACTGTTAAAGTACAGGTACCTCAAAAGTGTACTTAATTACAGCCCTTTATAATAATTATTTAGTTACTTTTCACCACTGATGAGTGAAAACAGTTTTTGTGTTACAAAGAGAACGTCAGGGCAGCAGAGAGGTGAGTGTTCCATGACTTTGTTGTACTGATGGAAATACAGGTGTGGAAATGTACATTGTACTGAATTTATCAAGACAGCAAAAAGTTCCACATGGAAGAAATGTTAAATTTGCATTAACAGTAAAACCCAACAGATGCCTTTCTGAAATCAGGGGGAGTCATTAGGGAGTCTAAAAAAGGATGATATACTGTATAGTAAAAATAAAACATAAAACAGGGAGAATTGCAAATTAAAAGGCCTGGTTCTCTCTGTGGTCGAGGTAAATAAAGGCCCTACCGTTTGAGAATTTGCATCATATAAATAGTGACCCACATTAGGGTTAAACATAGCACACCCTGACTGAACATGACTTTGCTGAGATATGTTAAACCTATAAGACATACAGTAGGGTATATATCTGTAATGATGCCCAGCAGCACTTCTTCAGACCTGTTCTTGCTGTGGTGTGTCATGACTAAAGCTGGGAGTCGGGCCAGCTTCTGACCTCCTTCCGTCTCATGAACCGCCCATGTTATTCTAAGGCCCAGTCACGTCTGATGAGATTACATCCACCTCTTATGTAAGGCCCAGCAAGTCCAGACATGCACTTTAAAGGAGTTATTTCAGCCCACTGCAGGAATGCGCCTCGCTGCTACAGTTCAGAACAAGCTGTTCCCAACTACTGATGTAGCTTTAATGTGGAATGTCAGGCATCATCAAAACAACCTGCAGTTCTGCACATCTCTTCCCAAAACATATACACAAAGAGTTATAGTGTAAAGTTAACACTTGAAAGGTCAGTAAGACAGCATTTAAACCTTCAAATTGTTCCTGAATAACTTTTTAACATGGTTTCTGCACAATCTAGTTTTAGTACGATTTTTCAAATAGTTAATAGTACTAATGCTAACTAATAGTTGTGTTTATTATAACATTTTTATCCATGCTAGCGACATGGCTGTAGGGATGGCAATGTCTGTCTGTTGGTCGGTTACCACCTTGGTCCAGTATCAAATACTATTAAGTGGATTATCAAGAAATTTGGTACAGATTTTCTTGGTCATCAAAGGATGAATTTTAATGAATTCTCTAGGGCCACCATGATGTTGACATTTATGGTTTTTAATCATATGTGCCAACAAATATTGAATGGATCTCCATGAAATTTGGTACACATTCATATTTCCCATTAGGATCAATTGTAATAACTTTTCTTCTAGAGCCATCATCAGGTTAGATATTTTATTTGAGGTGTTGGTGACCAAATCCCTGCAAAACCAATGACATTCCCATCAGCCTCAGCTGTTCTTTATGTTTAGTGCTAATTAGAAACGCTACTGTGCTGACGTGTTAAACTGAGATGATGATCATGGTTATAAATGACATAACCTTAACTTCAGCATGTTAGCATGCTGAAGTTAGCACAATGCTGCTGTATAATTGTGTACATTTAGTGTTGTTTCATTTTCTTAACCTTTTGTTGCGTCTTTTTAAGCTTGCTGAGTAAAACTGTTTTACCTCCTCTGCTGCCTTACTTTTTCTACTATGCTTTTAACAGATGTCATTTTATCACTTTGCCCTTTATACAGTGACAGCAAGTATCACAAAGTTCATCTTGTCATATGTTCATCAGCTGCTGGCACCATCTGCCTCCTATAGGATACCTCATCACAGACAATAGAGCCCCATAGGTTGTCTAAGACTGTTCATTTAGATAATAAAGTAGGCCAACACTTTTTAAAAAATGCTTATACCCTCACAGACATTCTCTTTCCACTTAAATGATGCAATACTCTATTATACACAGCTTACACTCTAAAATGTCTACTGTTAAATACGCATAAACACCACTTAAGGGTACGTGAGGGCTTTGTGATTGGTTGATGCAACATTATTTCACTGAAATCCAACAGAAATCCCCTACATAATCCAGCAGACTCTCCAGAGACATCCAAAAACTGTGGAGAGGGAAAAAAAAAAAACATGCCCGCCCACAGGCTTTTGGTTCTATTGAAAGCATTTGGGCAACATGTCTGATTCCAAAATCATAGCTAAAGGATGTAGGGACTTAAAGGAGGTGAACGTTTGTAACAAGTGAACAACATGCTGCGTGGTGTGAAAGTCAGGATGAAATCTTATTTGCATTTCTATAGATACATCCGTGAGAACAAGAGTTTCATTCCAAAATGAGAGATCCACCTACACAAATTAACACAATATGTGAACCAAATGTTGGAAGCCGTTCCACACAAAATTTAAACACAGAATTGCATTGTGCTGCTATGCTTAAATCTGAGTTAGTAATGTTTCTTAAGGAAAAAAAACACAAAATTCACATTTTTCATCTGTAACTCAAATTCGGCATATACATAGTCTACAAGATGTTAAAAGAATGTAGAACAAATCTTTCTGGCCACAAAAAATACTGTTTGTGGCTTTAAATCAGTGGTACCCCAAAGCGTCCTAAAGATTTCAATAGATGATAACAGGTATTTATATAAGAATAAAGAAATACATTTTTTTCAGGCTTTTCTCAAATGTTTCAGCTTTTTGTCTTGTGAAACACTGAATATTTGCACCTGTTCATTAAAAAAATACATATTTATCAACTTTTCTATCCAACAGTGAACATTAGGCTTCTACAAAAAAAGAAATTGAAATGAAACCCTTACATTATGTTCAGGAAAATAATACAACAATAAAAGGCTTTGTAAAGTGCAAACAACAAAATATGTCCATGTATTGAGTGTCTTAAAGCTTATTTTTGTAATCAGAGGAAGACACATGGAAGTTGGGATTATGATTTTCACCTGGATTCACATGTCAGTACATATTTTACATAAAAACAGATGGTCAGTATATATAACACAAAAACAGATTGTAGATGGTCTTTTTGAAAGTTTGTGTGCTCAGTGTGACACTAAAGAATAATGTGAGATTTGCTTTCAGCTGTAACAGATTTAACAAATGCAATAAAATAACATCACAGAAAGGAACAAAATAAGGTGGATAATTAGGGCCAAATGAAATAAAGAGTATTTGTTTGTTATCAGATTATTAAATTGAGTAAATTTCTGAGGACAAGCAGGATGAATTTAAAAGTAATAATTCAGACGTTTGAGGAACAAAGTACAATTTCTCTGAATAAAGTCAAAAGAAAAGTAAATAATTCAAGTCAAGCATTCTGATATCATAATCTCACTGCTCCCACTTTAATCTTTAATTTTCACATGATCTTAATTGTCATCCATACATACAATATATAATGAATAATTATTAAAGGATTAGTTTTGCATGAATGAGTATCTATAAATAAAAACAGAGCAAATACATGGCATTATGAATATAAAAGTGCTGGCTGAACTTTGTGTGCACAAATGTGGTAGTAAAATTATACCATGGAATTTGTGAGGAATATGAATGAACGCTATTTTTCTCTCCCTCCTGCTTAGTGGTCGTATTGAGCCATGCACAGAGTTTCAGTTTTATGTGAGGAGGTTTTGAGAGACAGCAGGTTTCTGCTGCCACCCAAATACAAAAGCAGTAAATGGAGTTTAATTTTGACTCAACAGCAATGTGTTTCAAACAATAACTGGGTTACTGAAGATTACCGTCACATATCATAGGGACCGTTTCTTCAGTAGAAAGCAGGTATAGCAACATTATTTATTTGTATCTTAAAATAACAGCCTCAAAATCATTTTGATGGTACACTGACTATGGTAAATGGAATCTCTGTCATTGCCACTCTGAACTGGCTGTGCCATGTAAAATTGGACTTTTGTTTAGGTGAAATGGTCCTTTACTAATACTATCCAACAGAGATCCTCACTGCATAGTATTTAAGAATGTAGGTAACTGAATGGATAAAAAGGCGATACTAAAGTCCATGCTAATAAAACCCTGAAAAGAATAATTTGTGCAGTTGACCCTTCGTTAAGCCCCGCCCCCCTTAGTTACTGTTAGTCCGACAAACTGTCGGCACTGCTGCTGTCTATTACTGCACTCCCTGCAGAAATATTGTCAGATTAGTTGGAAAAAGCGATCTCAGAAAAAAAGCATAGTTTTGCAGTTGCGTTATACATTTGAAGGTTGTATTCAGGTTATCTAACTGATTCAAACTGACGTGAAAAAAAATTAAAGAGAAATCTACCGATCACACAGTACAAGTGAACCATCGCATCCCTCGACAATTGAGACAAAAGAAAACAGCATTAAGGATCAGCACTGTTCCTGCCTCTGTTCATTATAACGATCATTAAAAAGCAGAACAGTAGGGCTTTCAGTAGGACGTTAGCTAGCGTTAGCTAACTAACATTAGGAACAATCCACAGCCAACATTTTTCTGGATTTATTTTAGGTTTTGGAAAGAATAAATCGTACTTCTCCTTTCAACCTCTGGGTAGCGACTGTAATTATTACATGTGCCCCAGGAACAGCATTTGACCATGTCTTAGAAAAATACAGCCAAGAAAACTCATTAGAGTCAATAGAGACCATCCACGAAAGTGTCGGACCTCAGATAGAGTCCTATAGTGTGCTGTGATTGGCCAGCTGTGTATTCAGGGCGTGGCTTAGTAAAGGGTCAATTAATAGAATAAAGTACTTGTGCCATCGGTTACAGAGTGTTGAAAGAAAAAAAAAAAAAAAAAAAAAAAAGGGGGCTTCCCTCTGTTAAATGGATAATACACAATCGCAGTGTTAATCAGACAGTGATGGTAGATGCAGTAGAGGGTGGTGCTGTGGGACAGGATTGTGTCTGTGCTTCTCTTAGTCTGATGAACTTCCTTCCAGGTAAAGGTCCCTTTCCCGTGGAGTGTGTCGAAGATCATTGGTTCTCACATTATAGCACAGGAACTGCAAAAGTCAGGATGCAAAAATTATTACTTACTTTATAGTAAATACTGTAAACCTGTCAGGGTTTGGTATGGGTGAAGCAGGTAGTAGGTTGGAGGACCCAAATGCAGGACACGAAAGCCAGCAGGAACAGTTCAGAAGGGTTTTAATACATAAACAAAAGACGAGCACACTTACGAACAGAGTGGCTGATTGACTGAGTCCAAAAACAAAGGCTGTCCAATGAAAATCCAAAAATGAGCAGGGTAACAGGGAGACACGGTGAGCAGGGCTGAAGACACGAGAACAACTACTACACAGGGTGACAACATACAATGACCCGACAAAGACAAGACAGAAACACCAGGTATATATACACACAGGGACTAACGAGCAGGGCGGGAGAAACACAGGTGAAGGACATGAGGCTAACGAGGCACAGGCAGGGAGAGAGAGCAGGGGAAAACAGAGACAGACATGCAGAGGGATCACTGGGGTAACAGACATGATAAGGGTTACCAAACACTAGACGACAGACAAGACAGACCCCCAGACTGTGCCTTATAATTGTATATCTTTAGTAATCTGTTTTGCTAAGAAACCACACCTGAGGCCTCCATCTTTTGATATCCAGTTTGTTTTTAAAACCGTAAAAATAAATGATTCACCAACCACTATGAACCTATTGATAAGATCTTTAGTATGTTTTCATTAACATATTGGCACCTATTTGGTGCAACTATGCAAATAAATCTCCAAGCTCTTATCAAGCTGATCGGGCCTGTAAACATCCGGGTTTGAAGCACCAGCCCTGACCATCGACACCGATCACATGTAAAATACACTTTTGTTTTGTCAGCTTCTCGGCATTGGCGTGGGTGTGCTGCACACACACGTGACTGTAAATCAACACAGTGATTGCTGCTCCACAGTTTAATCTGTTCTTGTCTTTACTGCTTTGCGGATATTGTACCACAGCCAAATTGCACTTGGCTTGGTTGTGTTTGAGGTGTTCTTCCAAGAAGCACAAAGGGTGTGTGCAGAAAGGTGTGTGTGTGTACCAATCTGATTGGTATGAAGAATTGATCCAAACAATATGCTTAGGAAAACTGAACTACAGGCAGTCAAAACAAACACAGAATAAACAAACATTGCATTTCCCCAAAAACACCTAGAGTTGACATTTCAAAGCATGAATGCACACAAGTTATTATGCAGTATGAAGCACAGACTTGATTTTACATCAGTCAACACAGCTGGCACTCCTAGACAGGTGAGTCTCTGTCCCATGTGTCATGCATGTAATGCATTTTGTGAGACCAGATGCATGTGAAAGGCAGTGAAAATAACTGCATCCAGTTTAATAAGATTAATGCTAAGGGTGATGCCTACCTGACGACACCATACCATGAATGTTCAAGGGCACCAACACACATGGCATTTCCTCTGTGGCTGCATCAACGAGGAGCCACGTGCATTTGGAATGGCAGCGATGTTCAAAATTTCAAGAGGCATGTGCCAGGTCTGCCCATCTTAATTAGATGTTCTCAGAAGACCAAACAGTGTTTTTTTCCATCTCTCACCTTCTTTGACATCTTCAATATGTTCAATGATCACAAAAGCACAAGTGAAAGCTAAATGAAAGAGGAAAGTGTTCTTGATGTAATAGTAAGGTCAGTTCCTGGCACCTCTTTTCCAATCACCTATGTCATGCCACATGGGAAAGAAAGCATGCTGTGATATTCTGGGTCCAACATGTAGTCTGCCATGTGTCTTGGGCTAAGTCACAGCAAGAATATGTAACTCTGTTATCACCAAATCTGACATAAGGACGGCACGTCTTTAGGGACAGCAATGTCGGTCTGTCCACCACTTTGGTCTAGACTGAAATATCTCCATAGATATTAGATACATTTGATACAGATATCCATGGTCCCCAGAGGATGAATCCTAATCACGTTGGTGATCCCCTGGCCTTTCCAGTAGCGCCACCATGAAGTTGACATTTATGGTTTTGAGGGATTTTTGGCTAGATAGTCGTGAAATTTGGTCCAGACATTCATAACTCCCTCAGGATGAAACAGAATATCCTTAGTTATCCCATAACTTTTCATCTAGCATCAAAATTTCCAATACTTTTATGATCCACATACTGAATGGTGGAAATGCTAAACAATATACAGTGGGTACGGAAAGTATTCAGACCCCTTTAAATTTTTCACTCTTTGTTTCATTGCAGCCATTTTCCAAAAATCAAAAAAGTTCATTTTATTTCTCAGTAATGTACACTCAGCACCCCATCTTGACAGAAACAAACAGAAATGTAGAAATTTTTGCAAATTTATTAAAAAAGAAAAACTGAAATATCACATGGTCATAAGTATTCAGACCCTTTGCCGTGACAATCATATTTAACTCAGGTGCTGTCTATTTCTTCTGATCATCCTTGAGATGGTTCTACACCTTCATTTGAGTCCAGCTGTGTTTGATTATACTGATTGGACTTGATTAGGAAAGCCACACACCTGTCTATATAAGACCTTACAGCTCACAGTGCATGTCAGAGCAAATGAGAATCATGAGGTCAAAGGAACTGCCTGAAGAGCTCAGAGACAGAATTGTGGCAAGGCACAGATCTGGCCAAGGTTACAAAACAATTTCTGCTGCACTTAAGGTTCCTAAGAGCACAGTGGCCTCCATAATCCTCAAATGGAAGACGTTTGGGACGACCAGAACCCTTCCTAGAGCTGGCCGTCCGGCCAAACTGAGCTATCGGGGGAGAAGAGCCTTGGTGAGAGAGGTAAAGAAGAACCCAAAGGTCACTGTGGCTGAGCTCCAGAGATGCAGTCGGGAGATGGGAGAAAGTTGTAGTAAGTCAACCATCACTGCAGCAATCCACCAGTCGGGGCTTTATGGCAGAGTGGCCCGACGGAAGCCTCTCCTCAGTGCAAGACACATGAAAGCCCGCATGGAGTTTGCTAAAAAACACCTGAAGGACTCCAAGATGGTGATAAATAAGATCCTCTGGTCTGATGAGACCAAGATAGAACTTTTTGGCCTTAATTCTAAGCGGTATGTGTGGAGAAAACCAGGCACTGCTCATCACCTGTCCAATACAGTCTCAACAGTGAAGCATGGTGGTGGCAGCATCATGCTGTGGGGGTGTTTTTCAGCTGCAGGGACAGGACGACTGGTTGCAATCGAGGGAAAGATGAATGCGGCCAAGTACAGGGATATCCTGGACGAAAACCTTTTCCAGAGTGCTCTGGACCTCAGACTGGGCCGAAGGTTTACCTTCCAACAAGACAATGACCCTAAGCACACCGCTAAAATAACGAAGGAGTGGCTTCACAACAACTCCGTGGCTGTTCTTGAATGGCCCAGCCAGAGCCCTGACTTAAACCCAATTGAGCATCTCTGGAGAGACCTGAAAATGGCTGTCCACCAACGTTTACCATCCAACCTGACAGAACTGGAGAGGATCTGCAAGGAGGAATGGCAGAGGATACCCAAATCCAGATGTGATAAACTTGTTGCATCTTTCCCAAAACGACTCATGGCTGTATTAGATCAAAAGGGTGCTTCTACTAAATACTGAGCAAAGGGTCTGAATACTTATGACCATGTGATTATTTCAGTTTTTCTTTTTTAATAAATTTGCAAAAATTTCTACATTTCTGTTTGTTTCTGTCAAGATGGGGTGCTGAGTGTACATTACTGAGAAATAAAATGAACTTTTTTGATTTTTGGAAAATGGCTGCAATGAAACAGAGTGAAAAATTTAAAGGGGTCTGAATACTTTTCCGTACCCACTGTACCTGCGAAACATCACTGTTGTAATTGTCATTGCGAGCATGTGATCAAGCTGATGTTAGCATTTAGCTCACTGAATAAAGCCTCACAGGGCTGCTAGTGTGGCTGTAGACTCTTTGTATTGTGGTGTACTGCAGTTTTGCCCAATGTGGTTTATATCAAGCTATCAGATTGATCTGCTGGTCTCTTATGTGCAACAGCCTCTGACAAGGTGCACTTGAGTAAGACACTTAATACACCCAACCTCCTCACTCACTGGAGCTGCTTTGTGACCAACAGTAGACTGTACTGTTTCTGTGTGGGCTAAATGTAAACCAAAAAAATGTTAGGCAGAGGCAAAACCCTTCCCCATCTAAATATAGGTTAAAGGGATATGAGATGACAGCCTATTATTCACACAAGTGGTCTTTAACTTATTGTGCAATCCCTATTACTCATGATGAGAGCCGTTTATTTAGAGTGCATGTTGTCATCCAGCCTTGATCCTTTCTCAGCTGTTGGGCTCTGCTGCAGAGGCAGCTGCAGTGACACAACAGGGAAGTTAAAAAGAACATGCACACCTAGATATTAATTATAGTGAGTAAGAACTTTGCATACCTTGTATCTTTGCATCTTTAGGCCAATTTTTAGAGAGGAACTGGTCCTAATCTACATTAAAAATGTCACCAGAATCCTTAGTATTTAGGCTGGGGATTATAGAGATGCAAAATGATTATGGTGGCTTTATCTTGGGGAAACCTTCCTGGTACACACACAGTGGGTGATACATTGTTGTATATTTTTCAAGCTGCAACATTCATATTTAATTTCGAAAGGAAGTGGATGTCACAGTGCAGTACCGCACACACTGCACACACTGCACACACTGCACACACTGTACACACTGTTTAATAGACAAGGGATCTTTTGGGAAGTCCAAGAGCACTAAGCAACAAAGATGGAGACAAGATGAAAATGGGCCAAATACAAAGATGCTTTTTATTGCCTTTCATAATGATAAGTATAACTCGTTTATCCCTCCCTTCCTTTCTTTTTCTGATTTTATTAAAAAATAATTGGTTTGACTTACAGGAAGAGACACACCGCTGATAATAACAAACCCTGACACAGCCAAGTTATTCAGTCCACAGCTGCAGCATTCTCAGTTGCAGTCAGTCAAATTTATCAGTAAACCAAGGTCAGAATGGGTCAACAATTTCCTCTTGGTTGCACTTTTCTGTGCACAAGTTTTTTAAACTGACTGCAACATTTAGGTACTTTCCACTCCACCGAAAAAACACCAGCTGATATGGGCCACTAAACAGCCAGGCGCTCCACCCCAATGCTTTCTGTGACGCTAAAGTCGAAACTTCTTCAACAGTCCAATAGACTTAAATATATTGTAGTGCTGCCCGTTTTACCTCTGAATAGATATATATTTTATTGTATTTAAAAGAATTGTAAAT